TTCATGATCTGCTGTCACTTCTCAAAATTATTAATAATTGTATCTTTGAACGAATGTTTCCTAAGTAACATCCAATGAGACAACAGATAATATAAGTAGACGGGTCACATACAATGTTACCTCCAGCCCTTGTCACCCTGTTCACATATAGCATTTGTGAGACCCATGACCCATGATGTATGGCAAGCATGTCAAACTCTTGTCCCGCAGGCTGCATGCAACCCTCAATGAATATTTTTGTGGCCCAGCCAATATAACGGTATGTAAGAAATGTTTTAATAAAAATTTGGTAACTTAATTTTTACAATATCCTATTATACATAATTATTAATAACAAACTATAATGTTCACTAATGAGTGATTACTATAATCGTGTTGCATTTATTTCCCTTACATGCCTTACATACAGGTGCACCATTTCACTCCACTAATACTAGCAGCAAATATTTTAGCAGCCTATTGCCACGTCATTAGTCTGAATTGTTTGGTGTGCACAACAGGAAATATTTCGCTTTCGGAGAACAAGAAAAATAGGTTTATTTGCGTTATGCTTATTAATTTGTGTAGTTATTCAGTGTCTGGTAAGTTAATATTCAAGAAAAAATATTAATTTTTATTAAAATGTTCTATTATTTTATGTTAAGGATGACTCATTTATTTCAGCCCTTTGTATTCAGCATGTCCCTATCAAAATAAATCTACGTTTCTATGAAAAGTGAGCTTTTGTTTTTTTGGGGCCCACATAAACTTAAACCTTGTTTATTTGGCCCGTGTTAGCCTTTGGGTTTGACATGCTTGTTGTATGGAATCAGAGAGACTGGAGGAGAGCATAAGATAAGATGCTAGAATATGCATATATGAAGAACTGAAATAAAAAGAGTTGAGTTAGTTTTCTGAAGCATTTTTACTGTTCTGCTAAGAATACAGTACAAATGCAAATATGAGCCACATACTAAGCATTGTGTAATTGTTGAAATTTCTTATATTTGTACTGAAACTGGCATTGTACAATATAAAGACAAATGTTAAAATTCATGCTCATAGTTAAAATTTTCTTTACCTAGAGTGACAAATAGCAATTAACAGTGTGACCAGTCAAGACAGAGAGGGTTTGTGGAAGAAAGAGAAAAGCTTCCTATGTTAGTGTATTGAATGGTACTTTTTTCCTGCCTTTTGAACAAGAGGCCCTGCATTTTATTTTGCACTGGGTCTGCATATTATGTATGTGCCCAGCCCTAGTTGACAAGTTCCATGTGCCTGAGAAGAAGGGTGTCTCTGAGGCTCTCCTTTTATATTTCAGTTCATTCCCACATGCCCTGGGTCACTACACAGTTCAGAGAACTCCTGGTGTGTTCGGAAGGCAAGACAGTTTATGCTCCCACTGCTTTGGAGAGATTAGATCCCTATTCCTGTTACTTCATTCACTACACCTCCCTTGTCTTGGCCAGACTGTATCACTTCGCTCTGTCTTCCCAGAGTCCTTGGTGAGCTTTACTAGATCACTTCTTATCCTATGTTGACAAGATCTTATGTGTCTACTTCCTCACTGAACCGTTAAGTCGCTTTTGGATGATGAAGACAAGAAACCAGTGTCATTTATCTTGTCACATTCAGACCCTGAACACAGGGCCTGGCAGGTGGTAAGTCATTCACAAACACTATTAAATTACATCTTCTCTTCCCAAAGTCTACTTCCTCATCCCCTTCGTACACCTTTCCACACATACATAACAATACCTTTTCTCCCCAGTCCCTAATGTAGAGAGAACTGTTTACTTGTCATTTTATTATCCCATTGAACTAAATACAAGAGTAAATAATCTGATTCTACCTAAGAAACACTACCTAATAACAAATCTCTTCTTCCACCTCATGGCACCTTTCAGTCTATCTATAAGAGAGAGACGTGGAAGACATAAATGACAATATAGTTTTACAGACCAGAGTTTGATTCCCAAATTGGCTTTTATCACATACCTCTAACCAAGTCACTCAAGATTTCTGAACCTCATTTCTTCATTTTATTAAATAAGTGTGATAGTAATACCCGCAAATAGTATGGTTGTAATATATGCATGTTGTTTCTATAATACTTGCCGTATATTTTGTAGATCCCTGATACATAACTGCCTTCAAGGTGTTTATAGTACTAAGCTCTATATTGATGTTACATCCTCTGAATGTTTGATTAAGACTAAGACCAGAGAAGGCTCTAAAGCAGCTGTGCCCTGATGTGGTCAATAGATATAAGCACTATGACTAAGTACCTGCTTCTCTCATTGAGAACAATTTCATAGGTGAGCCGGAGCCTGACATAAATAGTTCTAGTCTCTGATGAGACGTAAAAGGTAGGCACTCCAAGTGCCTCTTCCTCTTTAAAAATATCTGTGAGACCTCATTTCCAATGTGACCATGATCAAACACAGAAAGTATGCAAATGTCTGTGTTATTATTCAGAGTCATACCAATCTATGTACAGAGAGTGGACTGTGGGCAAAAGAATGAGTTATCCAAGAACATTTTGTGCTGAAAGCTGAGCTAGAATGCTCTAGTCTCCTCTTGCTTTGGAGTTGACTGAACCAGTCACTGCTAAGCCTTAGCCGGTGAATTCTGTTAAATGTGCATTTGTGTCGATAGAGAACTTGGCGTGTAGTTTCTTAGACTCTGTTGTCTGAATCTGATTATAAAATACTTATAGGTAGGAACTATGGTTCCTTTATTCTATGGTTCCCTTCCTCTAACAGCCAAGAGCCGTTTGCTTGATTGCATCAAGAGCGGTAAGTGTCAATGTCTGGTGGCATCCTGATCCATTGATGGCTAGGATTTCAACTTTTCTTAAAAATTTCTTCTCAGAGGAAATATTTTTAGGAGGAATCCTTTGTCCTTCGATATTAAATGAGCACTTAATCTGAGGATAGAGGATAGTAAGTCAATGTCTCTCCCCTTAAGAAAACTCACAGTTTTTCATAGAATACTAGAGTCCTAGCGCACTAATTCATGCATGGGTGGGGTCCCTAGGCCTGGCTGGTGATCAGAGCCGATCAGGGCTGGCTGATTGGGGCCAAGCCTATTGGGGCTTGGCCATTAAGACCTGCCGGCTGGGGGGCACAAATGGGGAGAGGGACCACAGGAGGTTGGCTGGCTGGGGGAGAGGGACTGTGGGAGGTTGACTGCCAGCCCCATGGAGGGAGCCAGCCCTTGGACACCCTGGGAAAAGAGCTGCGTCTGCTGCAACCCACCCCCAGTTCCCCATCCCAGCCCGGGTCCTTCAGGGTCCGGAGAGGAGATGATGGTCATTGGGCCAGGCGCAAAAGGAACAGACACTGGACACTGATGCCACCATTGGTGCCCCACCACCATGCAGTTCCCCACCACACACCCCCTCCTTCCCTCGCCACAGTGCTGCCACTATGGTGGGCAGGAGGCCCCCGGGGAAGGGGGAAGGGAGAGGATGGGAGCGAGGATCCTTCAGGGTCCGGAGAGGAGGTGATGGTCATTGGGCCAGGCACAAAAGGAACAGACACTGGACACTGATGCCGCCATTGGTGCCCCACCACCATGCAGTTCCCCACCACACACCCCCTCCTTCCCTCGCCACAGTGCTGCCACTATGGTGGGCAGGAGGCCCCCGGGGAAGGGGGAAGGGAGAGGATGGGAGCGAGACAAACCCTTGTGCTGAGGGCTGACTTTCAATAGATCACAGCAAGGGAGCTGCTCTGCTATGTACAAAACCCTGACCCAGGAGCAGGCTGTCTATGAATGGTTTAGCACCAGGGGCCAATGGGAGCCGGCCGGGTGGAGGGACCATGGGCAGTTGGCCAGCTGTGGGAGGTTGGCTGTGGGAGCACACTGACCACCAGGGGGTCTGCCCCTTGGTGGTCAGTGCGTGTCATAGCAATTCATTGACCGGTCATTCCAGTCATTCTGGCTGTTCCGGTCATTCCGGCCATTCAATGGTAATGGTCACTTAGGCTTTAATATATATAGATTAGGATAATGTACCAATTTATGTCTCCAAGGAGAGAGTGGACTTCTTACACCCAACATTTGGACTCAGGTTGTAAATTTAAAGTGACTGTGTGTGTGTGTGTGTGTGTGTGTGTGTGTGTAGATAAGAGCTGGTGAGGGAAGAGTGAACAGAGATTAGGATGAGATAAGGTGACAGGGGCAATTAATGAGTCAGCAGCTGGTGGCAGCAAGGACTTCAAGAACTGGATACAGAAGCAGAAACTTTTTTTAGGTTACACCTTTTATTGTCAAACCTTTTTTAAAAGAGCATAGATTTTCCTTACATATGTGGGACTTCTTTTCTTCTTATCTGTAAATAATCTTGGAACAGCAAATATTTAAGGGCCATCTCAAAATTTTTTCCAGGATCTAACTCTGCCATGATTGGTCAGCTCCTTACAAACACATTTTATTAGTCATTTATTCTGTTTTACTTTCTTAGTCCTCTCCAGGTCAGTTCTAAAAGTACAGAGTATTCCTGAGGGCCATTTTGGCCATCTCAAGAAAACTTCTCTACAGACTCTGCTCTGTGTACACTCACCATTCCTATAATGGAATGCCAGCAATGTTGCCTGAAGCAACCTGACACATGCAACAATATGTGTATTCATTGGAATATTAAACAGTGAAAAGCTCTACAGCACAGGCTTTGTGATCTGTTGATCATGAGCCCTTATTCTAGCTTCTTCCTCATCACACATCAGCCTCTACTCCCAGAAAATACATTTTATTGCACATTTTGTGGCAAGATTTATGACAATTATCTCCCGAATCCATAATTAGCAAGTGGTAACAGATAAGCAGATAGATCCACTTATAGTGACATCTCTGACAGATTGACACCTCCCCCTTTAAAAATACCTGCAAGATTTCTCATTTCAAATGTGGCCATGCTCAAACACAGTGTTGGCAAGCCTCGTCTCGTGTTCCTGAAGGGGGAGGGGGCTATAAAAGCAACATGTTCTCACAGGCATGGCAGAGTCCATGCATAAACCATTTGGCTTTGCAATTAAAAACAGGTTTGGCTTCCCTCAGCATCAGTAAGACAACGTCAAAGCAACATTCATCCTGAAAATTTTCCCCTGTGAATTCAAATGAACTGTGAGTCTTGGATTTCTCTTTGTTTGCATGTGCATGCCTTGAGAGAGAATTTTTGGAAGGGTGTTGTGTGTTTCTTTCTGGGGTAATGCCTTGATATGCATGTATGGAATCACTGCTACCAGATTGGTCTCAGTGACACTTTCCATTCTGTGTTCCTTGAATACGTGGTTACTACTTTGAATTCATTCGGTCAGGCTTATTACTTCACGTGAGTTAACTAAGCCTGACCCTCTTGCCCCAGGATATGATCACTCACTCTAAAGATTTTCCTGAGCAATTGACTCTCACAACTGGACCTGAGTTTCAAAGATACTGAAAAATATAAATATATTTACTCCTGGGATGTGTGGTAAACTTGACTACAAGGATAGCTAATTACATCTTTATTGTTGTCATTCTTGAATGATGCCTTATATTAGGAGAAATCATTATTTTACAGCTAAAATCCTTTCCCTCGCTGTGTAATGAAGAGTTTTAAAAGATAAAATGAAAGCTAATCCTAGTTCCAGTGAAATCGTCAATTTTGCATAAGATAGTTTGCTTCTATTTTCCTTTCACCCATTCAATTGCACAGAAAAAATATTGTTTACTGTTAAGCAATAAGTTTGAACATTCTGCCACAAAAGAAATTGCAAAATAGTGAGACCTAAGTCATGAGTCAAAACCTGTCAGATCCCAGACCATTCTGCCTATGACAAGGTTTTTGCAATAGGATAGGTCACCTGCACGCAGGATCCCCTATTGGTGTACAAGGAAAGTCCTATAAAAAGATAATGTATTAGGAATGTCAATTTTTTAATAATAATGGTGATGACCAACAATTTTTAAAACAGAAACAGCAACACCAAAAAATAATTGATCTCAGTGCAATACACTTGATCTAAAAGTTATCATGGAATGATTCTGCCCCTATGTAGTCTATAAAAGTTTCAACAAACTTGACTTAAGAAATTTTAGTTTAGTCTTCGTTTTTTTAGGTGTAATTATCTATGTTACACAATCACCTCAAAAGTTGTCCAATATAATAATTACTGAAATATATTTACTTTTTATTGTATCCTTTTGAAATCCATGATTTGAAATAAATATAAAGCATTTTAATAATGTGTGAAACAAAAATATTTTCAGTACAAAGTAAATAAAAATATACTAATATACATGGTAGTATGTACAGTTGAGCTGAAATATTTTTTTAAAATGTTAAACCTATTATATCATATATTTACATTATATAAAAGTATAGACACATACACATAATTTTGTGTGTCTCAGAAATATGTTTTGCTTGCTTTTCATCCGTGGACTCAGTGAAAAGGAAAAAAGAAAATATATTTTTCTAAATATAAATTTTTATTTTTGCTTTGATAAAAGAAGTCAATTTTCTAAATTAAGATGACACTATAAATACATATTTTCTATTTTCATCAATTCCTTATATTGGAGAATTTTTTATTCACTTAGGCTGACATTTGCTAGACTAGATGTTTTATTACTTTACATATAAAATTTATAGCATAAGAAGCAACTTTAAATTCAGTCCAACAAAGGCAGAAATAAATTCAACTTTTAATGTCACAAAAAATCACACTACAATTTCATTAAAATAATAATAAGCATAAAAATAAAGTAGAAATATAACTGTATAAAAATAAAAATAATTTAACAAATCTCTTTGTGACTTGAGCCTTCCCTTCCATTTTTCAAAATATTGCTTCCTATTGAAAATATTTTTTAATGAGCAAGGAATTGCTACCAATTAATTTAAATGTTGATTGGAGGGGAGAGGATTGTATGCTTTTATAAGCTTATAAATTTTACTAGCAAAGCTACATTATATGCATATGTTCTTTATTAATTTGGTATTAATAGCTTCATTTCCTCACAGTTATGTATCTGAAGTCTGGTAAAAGAGAAGAAAGAATAGAGGGGATTATTAGGTCTTTAAATGTAAGTTTTCAAATGCCCAATAAAATGACATGAATACGTGATTGGAGAAGGTTTTGAGATAGAGAAGGGGTAAATAATGAAATATTCTAACCTCATTTGGAATTGGAATTGTTAGTTTCTGTGAGAGCTCTAAGAGGCCGAATGGAAAGAACTGCTTCTAGGAGTGGGGTGAAGAATCAGAAAGTTATTAATAAAATGTCTTAGATCTTAATCATAAGCTTACATTTCAGCCCATTAAATACCCTCCGTGCAAAGAAAAAATGTACACGAGTCATTATATCATTATACTAATTTGTCATATGTCTGAACAGACAACTCCCATTGCTGAGTTTATTCCCAACAACTAGAACTACACAGTAGTTGTTTTAGAAGATTGTCGTGGTTGTTTAGTTTTGTTTTTAAGCTATGCCTTCATTTTCACTCAGCTGGAGAAGTTGCCTTCCCAAACTTACCATAAATCATATTTATGAGGAAGCCGTCTTTACGGAGACAATGAAACTAAAGCACCTGCGCGCCGGAACCACATCACTTACACAGCTTACATAATGCCCAACGGGAACATGCAGGCAAGTCCCCTCCTTCCCTCACCAAAGATCTATTTGTTTCCCTCCCTGTGGTTTAGAGCCTGTTTGTATTTTGGGTCACACATGTCCTGTAAAAACACGGCTGAAAACACAGACTTACCACACAGGTGTGCCTTGGAAGTCGCTAGTAAAAATGATTTTAAAACTTTCAGAAACCGCCACGCTCTGAGGAAATGCTTATTAAAGACTAATAAAATTGCGAAAATTGAGGGAAAAACATCCAGTCAACCTTTCTGTGTGTGCTTTAAGGAAGTCGGTGTAGCCTCTGTCCACGTGGGCTAGGCTGTGCTGAACTCGGGCCAGAAAAACAAGCTGGGCCATTGTTTCACAATAGAGTGCCCAGGAGAGAGAAGAACAGCAGTTCCATATTCACGGGGTCGCCCGTGAAGACAGAGTCATTTCCACCCTTCGCCATGATAATTCTAAATTTTCACAAGTGATTAAAACTTTTGCAAACTCATCTCCCAGATCGTGTCCATGAGCTCAATGGTAAACTGAGTCTGAACGCTATCAGATGACACTGAAAACGTCCTGTGAATCTGTTTCTGCCGGGTACGTGGACCATGAGGCGGTGACTGAGTGAACTCAGTCATTTTAGCCACGAGTCTGAGACTGTTTCATCTTCAGTAACTTTAAGGAGAATCAGGGGTACATGGTCTTAGAGATCCTGATACAGTCAGTCATTGGATAGCCCTCTAGGAAGTTACGGTTTTGCAAATGCCAAAAGGAAAAAAAAAAATTCCCACAATTTTATAACATAGGTAGAATGTTTACCTTTTTAACTTAAAAATTACTGAAGCTAACTCAATCAGCTCAATTCTGCACAAACACCTTATTTCTGAGCATATACTGACTTTAGTGTTCGTTCAGTAGCAGTTTTCAAACCTGTATAAGCCTAAGAATCTCATAGGATGAGACTGTTAAAAATACACACACCTGAGCACAGTCCTACAGGTAAGGAATCACAATCTCTAAAGGAGAGTCCTGAATACATGCAGTTTTTAAAGCATCCTGGGTACTGCTTATGATCAAGCGAATTTGGGGAATCCAACTTAATTGGAATGGATTTGATGTTGAAAAAAAAATACCAAAATGCCCAAGAATTGTAGAGAGAGTTCTTTATTATATTCCCCTAAGAAGTGCAAGGATGCATTTTCTTAGAGATTTCCTGAGGTCTGGTGTATAGATTTAGAGATAGCACAATAATCAGTAGCTGGTGTCTAGCTTGAACATACACACACACACACAAATGTAAACATTTTTAAACACTGTCGCTAAAACTTTAGGGAAGGAAGAGCATGCAAACTGTAACAAATGAATCTCAAATATAACAGTAAAAAATTGTTAAATAAATGAAATAAAAATTAATCAATCATATAAGGATATCTACCAGTAATTATCCAGTAGCTACTTGGTATTTCATTAAAATCTACCTGGTGGCATGAATTTAATCTGTCATCTAGATGTGAGCCTAAGGAACATGTGTATGTATACAGATAGTCCTGTGGACACACAAGATATTCTAAAGATAAACGATGCTCTGAGCAAGATGGGATAGTATAGTCATAAAATATAGTGCTTTATTTTCTGGACTGTTACTTCTGTATTGGAAATAATATACTTATAAAGCCAAATAATTTTCAATAAATATAGCACAAGAGAATGGTTTTTGTTTCATGTTTTGATTAAGAAAACTGTACCCAACTATAGCACACATCACAATAATTAATAATTCTGATTTTTTTCTGTATAAAATGCAAAATTATCCAGGTTGCCTATGCACTAGTCTACATAACAAACAAGGGAATAAAAAAGGATGGGTCACACAAACTTTAAGTTATACAAGCTCTTCTAACGTAATACCTCTTATAGGTCAAATGTCCCTTTCCACTCCCTATATCCACCAAATACACACAAAGTTTACCTATTGGAGTGTAGATGAAGAATCTTTCACTTCATAAAGCAGTTAATATTCTAGGTATTTTTCCAGAGAATTAGAGAATTCTTTTGAATAAATTGCTACCAACACTAGCAATAACACTGTTTTGATGCATAAAAAATGTTAATATTCAATAAACCAATAATTTCATATCACCCTGGTACAAAGAAACTGAGGTACTCACAGGAGCTGGAAGAGACTCATATCAGATCCATGAGGCTGGACACTGTCCCAGAAAAAACAAGACCCAGTGGCAATCAGGGAGACAGTAGTAATTACTGTAATTATTAGTTTTATCTGTAAATCCAGTTAAATAATTGTCACCTCCATAAAATTTCACGAAGAAAAAAAAACCCTAATGAATAATTTAATGCAAAAGTAGCCAAATGAAATTCCCCCCTCCAGAAATTTTAGTGACTTTGACTGCAGTGGCAATCTGCACAGATCATTGCTTGCCCTTTCACTTCGCTTAAATGCCTCTAGGGAATCCTAATAGCTATATGATATGTTTGCTTTGGAATCAGATACCTGGAACGGTTAGCAGATGACCTGAACACTCAGTGATAAATTCAGCCTTGTCTGTTTGCTTATTTGTTACCTATATGTTGTGATTGAACATTCCCACTAAAAGATTGGCTTTCAAATTAAAAAGCGAGAGTCTGGAAAATTGTTCCGATGATATTCATAGGTTGAAGCCAGTGATAGTACTTTAATTCTATTTCCAAGTGGAGATTAAAAGGAGATGTAGCTGCCTCTCCACTTTTTTTTTCTTTTCTATAGACAGAGACAACACTTTGAGACCTTCAGAGAGCCTCATTTATTGTGAAAATAAGGTTTAACCCTCAAGTTCTGTCTGCCTCTTTTTCGCTTCCCTGGATTTGGCTGCAGGAAAGTGGGGAGGAGATGAGATAGCAACCCAAAGAGCTAATTCTTCATTCATTCTCATGTCCTTATTCCCACCCCTACCAAGCCACCAGTATAAGCAAGGCAAAGTTGTAAATCCATTGAGAATTTATAGACAAGAGAGTAATTTCTCATGGACTCCTGAGGGAAACAAACTTGGAATTGCTCCAATTGTGATTAGTTCTGTGTATGGGAACATTGCATGTCTAGGACAAGGGAAGGTTGGATCAGACAGGGGAGCTGGCATCTTGTCCCCCTTTAGTGGACAACAGAAAAGTCCAGTAAATGCCAACCACACAGACCCTGGAAAGTAGACACCTGTCCCGCTGTTGTTGTACCAAGACACATGGAAAAGAGGATCTGCCTATCTACTATCACTCAGACATCAACTACCTATTGAGAACCTATTATTGTAAATAGGAGACTAGCACATGGATAAAATCAGTAAAAGATATGGTCCGGCCTTCAAGGAGTTTATAATCTCTGTGAGTAGACAGGATTTTAACTCAGAATGTCTTGGCCAAAAAAAAGGGGCCACATGAAAGGTATACAACTTAATTATAACTATAGCAATAAGTACATCCTTCAGGATTTCTGAGAAAAATAAGATCACAGGCTCTTAAGATGACTGGGAAAGAAAGAAATTATGGATTGTGAACAGTTGAAGGTAGGACAATAATTATTTCTGATATTAAGAATTTACCCTGACATTTCATTGTTCCTGACTCTCCCTAATTCATTTAAAAATACTCTCTAACCAGTGCAAAGCTGTGAGGTGAACCCATCATCAGAGAGGAAGTGGCAATAAAAACACACGTTAAGTGGTATTTTTCTTCTTGTTAGGTTTTTAATTTGTTTTATTCCTTTCCTGTGAAAATGCTCAGGGTTGAGTTTGCTGACTTTTATCCTGAGGAGAAGGCAGGGGTGTTTAAGAAATCCCTGAGCACACTGAATAATCATGCTCTGTTTTCCTTTGTCTACCATTCCAGTATTACAGTAATGGTGGTTGCAACAAGTCAGTACAGATTCACAAAAACAAAGATCATGAAGAAGTGAAGACTACAGTCAACTTGTCATTTTTTTAAAGTTCCTTTGTTATGTCTAGCTGTTTTAGCCCAAACTTTCTCCGCAATTCTATACTTGTTACTAGCATTGATTTAATGTGTTCAGACAATTTACCCACCGTACATTTTTTTTTACGAATCAGTGCTGACAGGAATGTCTCTTTAACTCTGTGGCAGACAGAAACAAACCTACACTTTTGCAACGGCCTATAATACATAGGTTACCAAGGTTGTTTCAATGGCTATCACAAATGTAGAAGAGCTGACTTTCAACAAGAAAAGAAAAATGGTGGAGGGAGCAGGAGCGAGGAAGAGAGGGAAGTCCGGAGGAAAGAAAGGGAGGGGGGTGAAAGTAATAGAGGAAAAAGAACAGTGAGCATATATTGTTTTAGAGCGCTGTCTTAGTTTGTTACACAGATATTTCTCTTGACTGAAATAATAGTGCAATAAAGTTATAACATCAGTTACTTAAAAACAAGCCTCCCACCCACACAATATTGCCATTCAAATGTCTTGCTCGTTTTTCTTGCTACATTACTATGACCAGCCTCTTAGTCAAGTCTCAGTTTGACTGACTTATTGTCATAGGCTATTAGTCAAGTTTTATTCCATTTAACAAAAGCAATGAAATGGCCCTGAACACTCCTATTGCTTCCACTACTCTCAGAAGCTCAACCAGATAATCTAGCTAATCAGATATGTCTGAGGTTGAGGGGCCCCCTAGGACCACAAACTCTCTGTAGTCCTTCTTCACATAATGAAGATGCTGTATGGGCTATGTTCGCGAGTGAGCATTCAGTTCTTTGAGACGTGTTTTAATTTTTTTTCCCTTCACATTTACATTTGAAGAAGGGACATGCCAGTAACTTGTAAGGAAATGAAGAACCAAAATTGTGACTAACATTAAAAATAATAATAATAACTGACATTAACATGTTGCTAAAACATTTCAAGCACAGTTCTGAGAGTGTTGCCCAGATCACCTCATCCAATCCTTAGCACAATTCAATGAGGTGGGTGCTGTGATCAACCCATTTTGTAGAACAGAAAATTAGAGGAGTACAACAAAGTTAAATGA